ATACGCAGTACACCAGTACGAGGTGCAGATGACAGGAGGCAAGGAAAACATGGTCTGCAATCTATTGTGAATAGTGCTCAGTGATGGCAACTCATAGAACCACATATCAAAAGCCAAGCACAGCTCACAGGTCATGCGAGGGTCGCTATACTCGGACTGTAAGGATGGAACTCAGTCGATGTTACCGGAGGGTGTTGATTTTCTACGACTACAAATGAGGTTTAAAGCAGCGGTGGCAGAGTGTTGATCGTCTGCCAGCTACCTTTGATGATGATGCGCCTGCAAGAAGCTCTATGTCTGAGTGGTTTACGGAACTCAAGTGTGATAGGCCGTCCCTGGATGATGAGACATGATGTGGTTGATCTGTGGAGAGTGCCACAGCGGTCGAAGGGTTACTCACTTCGGCATGTGGTCGAGCTATTTCACCAAACGGTTTGAACGCATGGAACTTTGTGCATCAACGCTGGTGGAGAATACTTCGGGAAAATGTAATGCTCATTTTTGTGCGTCCGTAAACTGTTTTGTCCAGCTCTCTTATTTAAGACAGCCGTTCCAAAACAGACGTTTGTAGTACCACACTGCCCATTAACCTCCAGTGCATCACATCTATTTAGGTTTGGTAAAAAAAAGTACTCAGTCTTCTAATTGCCTTACGCATGTGGAATTCATGTACTGACACTTGATTGCAGAGCTGACCTCAATGCAATGAAATTCAAAAATGTTTCATGCAATCGATGTTACACGCAAATTCATTATTCCCTAAATTGGTTACAGATGTGGTGTAACTGATGGTCAGGACGAGTAGACAGTTTATCACTGGTTAATTTTGTCCGAATCAAGGTACATCACTTCTCTCTCTCTGTCTTTCTCAACTAAGGGATTATCAGTTCAATGAGGTTGTCCACAAAATAGATCTTCGGATAAATTGGTGAATTGTAACTGAAAACTAGATATTTGTGCATTCCTGTTTGCTCTAATAAAACATGTTGTTGGACAGTAGTGAACGCCAGTCCCATGAAATGCAGAAATGCATAAAATTGCTACCGCTCAACTCAGTCTTTGATCGTAAAACCTGAATCGGGAACTTCAATCAATTCGTCGACCTCAATACACTAACTGTCTCCGTTACCCTTTCTCTCTCTCTCTGCAAAACAGGGTCTACCTGGTCGTCCAGGGCCTCCTGGTTATACAGGAGATCGCGGTGAACCTGGTGAGCCCGGATTGCCCGGTGAAATTGGACCAGTCGGAATGGTTGGAGCACCAGGACAAAGTGGTGAACAAGGAGCTCCGGGAGAACGAGGACCACCGGGCCCAAGAGGTCCGCAAGGTAATCCGGGTAAACCCGGTGTGGAAGGATTTGAAGGACCACAGGTAAGAAATTGCCCGGCTTCGGCCACCCGTTTTAAAAATTTGCGAATACGTTTTAGGTGTAATTTAGCACATAATTTCGTGCTGAATAAGCGGACAGCTGATCAGTGCAAAGTTTAGCGGTTAACGGTCAACCTCTTTGCTGATTCGAATCCCGTACACTGACAATTCCGAATAGAAATCGAGAATCACTGAAGTTATGTAACTCGTCACCCGCAGTCTGTATTATTTTGCTGAGTAGCATTGAATGTTTTAGGATGAAAATCAACTTTCATGAAAGATAGATAGTACCCATAACGCAACAAATCTATCCATGAAGTATGCTGAAACACTATTGTGCAACTAGCTTTCTAAACGTTCCCAGAGTGGAATAGCCAACTCTGTTCTTGTGTTACATCATCGCTTTCTATTCTGTCTAGTCACCCGATTCCCGTGCCAGGTGAACTAACAAGAGATCTTCTCCCTCAGTTTGAAGGACTCTGCGCTCACTTCATTCTCTATCATACATTAGATTTAGTGATAGTAATTCTCTAAATATGTCTATCGTAGTGGGGCGTGATGAATTTGAACTAGCTACACCAAAGAACTATCTAATCATTCATAGAAGTAATCCATTGGCAGTCAAGTGTCAATATTAACCCTAGGTAAGCGGTAAACCGAAGATAGATATAGAGAGGGGTTAGAATCAGTATCGTACACTAAACTTCTGGGCTTTATGTATTACAAACGAACCGCTTTCGTTTTAATCTCCAGGGTGAAAAAGGTGATGTCGGTCCAGCCGGTCCTCCTGGGCCAAATGGTCCAGTCGGTTTGCGAGGTACTGCTGGCCCGGCTGGAGCCCCAGGAGAACCAGGCCCGAAAGGTGAACAGGGCAGAGCAGGCACACAAGGCAGCATTGGTGATAAAGGTGAACGAGGTCCCCCCGGTCCGCAAGGACCTCCTGGTGTGGTCGGACCAGCCGGTCCCCAAGGAATGCCAGGCAGTCCTGGTGAGCCCGGGTAAGTATAGAATGAGTAAACTCTTAACTCGTTGTTTGCTATTTGTTTTGTTGTTTTGATGGTACAACCAACAGGAACTAGAAAAAATGTTAGGGCTAAAGAATCCCATTGATATCCTCCACATTACCACAAAACGAAAATTATTCGTACTATCACTGTGCTACTCCATTTGGTTGCTAACACAACAAACTGTCACCCATACAATAGATCATTATCATGTCATCTAATACGACAGTTTTCACTTCGCCAATCAGTTGAAATTTCAGAAATTCTTGTCTGGTTACTACTATCTAACATTGTGAAACGGTATCAATTATGCACAGATTAGTTTCAGTCTCTCTCTCTATATATATGGCACACCACTAACGAAACCGTTTAGCCTGATTCTAGTTTTAGAAACCAGGAGTTCAATCTAACCGGTTACATTGTCCTATTACGAATTAACAATCTAGGCGCCCAGATACTAGTGAAACACTGGATTCCCTTTTATCCAATGCGTTAGAACAGAGAGAAGACAAATACTGCGAGATGTTAGCATTTCTTCTAATCTCCTTAGTTGGTGTAACGTCAAACAATCAGGTGTATTTATACAAGAAAGTTTTGATAACCACAGTGGTTCAATGGACAGTACTCAGTGGAGTGGAGTGAGATGGGGTGGGGTGGGGTGGGGTAGGAGAATCAGTTCTACGGCAGATAAATTTGTCCGAACACATTCCCAAGAGTGGTTGGTACCATAAACGACGCAACAAAGTTGTAGAGCTTAATCTGATAGAAGAAATCCAGGGTCATCAATCGCAAAACATCTCATGACAGTTGGACACTTTTCTGACCCAAATTTGTCGTTCAAACCGTTATTACCTGTCGTGAATCTCAGGTTCTTGGTGTTTAACGAAGTGATGCTAATCAAGTTATGTAACCCAATCTTGTACGCACAGGAGTTTCTGACGCAATCAGTCAAACTGCCGTAGGACTGGTTGTCCTACCCCACTCCACCGAATGTTGTCCATTGAAACACTGTAGTTATCAAAACTTTCTTGTATAAACACACCCGATTGTTTGACGTTGTACCGACTGAAAGAAGTGTTAACATCTCGCAGTATTTGTCTTCTCTCTGTTCTAATGAATACCACTCTCCGATAAGATTTATTTCTTTAGTCATATCTTGTCAACCGAAACTAGGTTACAGTATGTCCCACCAGTGGGTACTTTTTCTCTTATTTCACTGCCGTATTATGGTATTTAGACTGTCAAAAGGTGTTTCTTAGCCAACAAGCACCTGGGTAACACGGTCCGTGGTCAACGCTAACACTTAAGGGTTTCGTATCCCAACACGTTTTTTCGCTATTAGAATCCTACCTGGGAATAGTACACACAACAGCTCTTTGTTGGCCTTCACATACTAGTCACAAGCAGAATATTTATATTGTATTGCTCACCTTATGCACAATAAAGCGGTATTTCGTTTCCCATTCTTCGCAGGAAAGATTCCAGAAGACATATTTTATTCATGAATTGAAATCTGCATTGTCTACTTAATAGCGCTAGACGGCTTTTTTGCTGTAAACCAGTCTTTTTCTTCCGCCATACAATGTAGTACAACGCCGAATTGTTCATGATAGTTCTCTTGTCAATACTACTCATGAGTAAAGTAACCATGAACTGATAAATAGTTCACAGTGAAACAACTTTTTGACATGGCTTCTCACACTGTGTTCGCATTTAGGTCAAAGGGAGCTCGTGGGCAACCCGGTCCCATTGGTGAACGCGGTGAGAAAGGTGTTCGCGGTGAGGCCGGTAAACAAGGAGCTCGCGGTCCGGTCGGTGCTGACGGAGAGATAGGTGACCAAGGTAGCCCAGGTCCTCAGGGAACCAAAGGAGATCGAGGCGATATCGTACGTGGCACAGCGTTTGTTCTTTGAATTCAATCAGTTCTTTTCACCGTTCAATAAATTTCATCATTATTTTAGCGACTGATTCAAGGTTACGTCACCCAAAAATATATTTCAGTAATTAAACTCTTGAGTGCTGTTATCTTTTAGACGTAAGGAAAAACAGTGTTCACAATGTCGATATTCGAGTGCGTACTGGTTGTCTAAACGGCCTGACATATTCGCCTCCAAAAGAATATCGATCATGCATAATTAGTTGAGCTTTTGAGTAGCTCTTCTGAGATATCAGTTAAGTGAACTAATTCATTCCGGAAATCAATCCAACTTACCCCTGGTAAAAAGAGAGAAGAAACTTTCACGTCCCTTACATTTTTACCCAATCATTATCAAATTGTGGACACTGATCTACGGATTAGATAGTTAAATTTTCTTGTACTATTGGTCATAAGCGGCCGCTAATTTGTTTGTAATTAATCACAAAGTTTAAAGCTCTACGAAGATTTTCTTTATCTAGAAAAATCACTTCAAACGCTCCTCTGTCAATTAAAAATCGCCACTTTGAAACATCTAAAAACTGACAGGGTGAACAAGGACCAACAGGACCGCAAGGTGATGTTGGAGCTGCTGGACCACAAGGTGCCCCCGGTCAACCCGGTGCTGTGGGTCCCGCCGGTCCTAAGGGACCGAAAGGAGTTGAAGGCAAGGCCGGACCGATGGGACCTGAAGGACCAATTGGTGTTCAGGTGAGTATCTTCTTGTTTGCCCCCACAATCTCAAGGCTGGCGCCCACATGCGTTTCCATGCATATAGTTGTAAATTTATTTTTCACTGGCAAAACTGTTTACCCTGCTCATCAGTATTGCTTGTGCTTACTAGTCTTTTAAAAGCTTGATAAAAATGTCAAGCATATAATTCCTGTTTGTTTGTTTTCATACACGATCAGTACATCATTCTCTGAATGTGTGCGTGATAAGAACTAACCCCGATCGCAAGGCGAATGGAGATCATTGTTATGATCCTGTAGCTCAACAAAGTAAGCCGTCACACACACGCACACACACTCGATGACGTACTGATCAGATCCGGCTAAACAATTCATTAAGTGCTATGTGAGAACACATTGATCGATTAAACAATGGGCTAAAACCATGTCAAGATGCCTCACAGACAAAACATAGAAGAGTATCGATCAATGTCTAGCATGGGCAACTGCGTCACGTGATTGGTCGATCAATAGGAACAGATGGACGAATGCGTATGCATCAGGGGTCAAACGAGATTAAGCCAGAGGACTGATTGTTAAATTCAATCCGATCAGTCGCTATCAATGATCACAGATTCCGTAATCAGTCTTTGTTTATATATCTTGAAACTTTATTTTAGAATACTAACCAAGGTGAATAAAGTACAGTTTTCGGATTGAATATTTTACAAGACGAAAAACATGATTATTTCGTCAGTTATTAAAAAAAAAACAACGAAAGCATATTCCCCTTAAACTCATTAACATTGATATTGAGCGATATTTTCAATTTAGCTCAGTAAGAGGAATAGAAAACCTTCTTTTAAACTCTGATCTCTGTTATTCGAGTTTCACAACTGCCTGAATAAAAATAATCATTTGAACTTAACACAGCTAAGTTTATTCGTTCATTTAGCAATAATCTGAGTGTTCTGACAAACTATAATCATTTCATTTTCTTCTTTTATTGGATTAAACAAATCTGCACCATTTTCAGGGCTCACCCGGTGCCAACGGTCCTCGAGGTGAACCAGGAAGCAAGGGTGCTACCGGCGCCGAAGGTCCTCCCGGACTTGCCGGTCCTGTCGGCACACCTGGAGGTCCCGGAAAAATGGGCAATCCTGGCCCACCGGGTATGCCTGGTCTGAAAGGTCTTAAAGGTGATCAAGGACCACCCGGCGAACGTGGTCTTCATGGCCCACAAGGAGAACCCGGCCCGCAAGGTCCGAAAGGAACTAAAGGCAATCGTGGACGTCCCGGTCGACAGGGTCAGCATGGGCCTGCCGGTCCACCAGGAGTGATGGGTGAACCGGGTCACCAGGTTAGTGCATGGTTTGTGCAAAATGAATTGATCGTGTAGAGTTATTTGAAACTGAATATCATTGTTTTTCTGCATGAAATAAAAAGAATCATACAGGCAAAGTATCCTTCACAAGTCAACAGGTTTCAATATGATATTGAATCAAACAAAACAAAACAAAACCGCATTGTATTGTCTAGTGGTGAATACTTATTTCATTAATTTTTGTTCACCTGATGAGAATGGAAAAAAAAACTTTTCACATCCAATATCGATCAGATAACAACCTTTTTTGTCACCTCACACAAGTATTGTATTGCAGTTCGCGGATTAAGAACAAAAAACCTCATGTTTTCAGTGACCTACTATTTTTATAATTCCACAAAACCAGTGCCGAGTGATGGACAATGTTTATTAGAAGAACAACATGGATGGGATTGAATAGAATTATGCAGAAAAGACATGTTATCTACAATATTTGATTGGTAGTTTGGTTTAAGTCTTTTCATCAGTAATCAGCCTTTTTGTCTCTTCCTCAGTTACAATATTAAATATCTTAATCTACTCTCAGATGCCGTGAAGATCCACCAATTGCTTCTGCGTGTGCACACCAAAGACACTACCTGCAAATGTGAGTAGTATCTCACAACACTACGAAGTTCGGAGTAAAAACAATGATAGTTTTCAACACGAGTCGAGGTTACAACAAAAATAATTGTTTTTATCGTTTATTTTCAAAATTATGGTAGTACACAATGTAGACCAAGTAACAGTTTAAGTTTTTTGTACTAATATTCCACAGTTACTATTTTTAGACCATTAATGACAATCTCACACAAACGCATTTCACAGAGTTCATCATGTTGAAATTGAAGAAAATCTCCAGTTATTATATTATCAGCTTCTCTCAGTTAGTTATTGCTGTAGTTCTGAATCAATGTTATGTGATATAAAAACAACCATTGACCTTCGCCGCACATGTGATTGTTTCAACAGGGTATTCCAGGTCCACGGGGTCCACCCGGTCCGGCTGGAGACATGGGTCCACAAGGATCGATTGGACCGCCAGGTAAAGATGGATTTCGTGGTGGAATTGGTCCAAATGGTCCATTTGGCGAAGACGGTCCACCGGGTCCTCCGGGTCCAGCCGGTACACCCGGTCCACAAGGTCCAGTTGGTGCGGCCGGTGAAGCCGGTTCAGTTGGTGATCCCGGAAATCGCGGACCACCCGGTCCAGTTGGCTCAGTGGGTGAACCAGGTCTCCCCGGTGCTGCCGGCCCCGAAGGTCCTGTGGGACCTCCGGGACCACCTGGTGAACAGGTAAGTAAATTTTCTACAACCCAGAGATTCCGTTGGGGGGTATTAATTAATGATGATGATTTTGTTCTTGTTCCTGCCGACAAAAGGGTTTTTCATAGTATGGAAAAAGTTAAAACGATTCACGCCCAGATGACCAAAGTATAGGAAAGGTGCTGTGTTCAGTTAGTGTCGATGTCATAATGATCTCAACTAAGGCTGTTCTTATTCTCTCTCACTCTTTTCACCGAAAAATGCCCTCTATCAGTGCTTGATCTGGTAAAAGAGCCATTGCTTTTGACCATCTCTTCAATGAAGCTAAGAAACCCTACTTCATGATAGACTAAAGAGAAGATAACTACATGAGTGTAGAGGCAATTTCTTGTTAGTAAATGTCACAATGGGGATTTGGTATTTCAAACAATAAGCCCCCCTTTTACTTCTCTGTTATTTGGTCACTTTGGTGCCATTTTATTCAGAACTGAAAATCACATAATTAATTACAAAATTTCTCTTCGCGAACAAAGAAAATGCTCACATTAAGACTGACCGAAGTCAGATAGAAATTTGACCCGCACTTTATTAGCCCCACCAGGTAATCAGTGACAATTGGATATCAAACTTTGTGCACTAAGTCATCGGATATTAGGTCTATTTGAGCTACTAAGCGAATTCCGTGAACCAGTTCGCTGTAGTTTAACCACCTATCCATAGCTGTGCTATTCGAATGGAGTTCTAACTTGGCCTAGTCTATAGTTATGCGGTATATGACAAACTGCTTTTGATCAGTTAATACATACCGCTGGTGTTATCTGTTCGTCTGAGCGAAGAGCATTTTGGAAATCCGCAAAAATGATTAGTCTTTGAGGTGGTCAAAATAAGCAAAATCAGAAAGACTAGATCGCAGTTCTGGACAGAATCCCATAACCTTAGGTAGTACGAACTTACATGTTGAAAAAAAGGTGTTTTCGTGAGTTTTTCATCTTATTCTTCTATTTAAATTACGATTTACCGGTACGGTTGATTCTTATCTCTCTCTCTGTCTGAGCTGTTGCAGAGACCGGGATCAATAGGCGTCCACTTGACGTTTGTTTGAACTCACGCAAATGAGTTGAGATCAAACGATGCGTCTTTCACAGCAATAGACTTTTTAACTTATATGCGAGACCGTTTAAATAAATTACTCCCAGACGAGTGATGATAATCATCCTGAACTTCACATGCGGTTTAGTTACCAACCAGTTTATTTCTGTTTCACCATTCCAATTCCGTTCCTCATCTGCGAAAAACATTTTGTAATTTTATCTTTCGGTTTGGGGCTCAAATTCCCTTCATCGAACTATAGCAACGGATAGACACCAGAGCTACTTTACACCTAGAAAAATATCATTGCTAATTCGGTGTCGATTATGCCACTAATTTGTTTACCTTTACTTCCCTATCCCAGCTTTGACACAAAAGTGCTCTCTTCAGTTTGCTACTCGTGCAACGATCGTGCACCTTCAAGTTTTATTCCAAACCACAAATCATTAATTTCCTGTTATCTTTTATATTCACAGGGACCTCAAGGAAATGTTGGTCTACCCGGACCGAAAGGAAATGTGGGAAAACCGGTAAGTTAGCGCGTGTATTTTCTTACCCTTTTAATCCATGGAATCAATATTGTGCTCAATTGGGTCGTTCAGTTTGATCAGATCGGACTTCGATTCACGGCTGCCGAAAACGGGGGTGTTTGAAGTGAAAAGGTGAACAGTTCTGTGCAGCTGTTGGATATCAACCATATCCTATACATCCTGATGGTCTCATGAGTTGAACCTAAACATACTGTCGGCTTGTCAATCTTCGTTAAAAGGACAACATGCGACTGAAAAGGACTTCGCACATCTAAACTACTAGATACTCCTGTTCTGATCATTCTACTTTGGAATTACGGAATTATATTCATAATTATATTCAAACGATCATATATCAATTTGCCCTGTGTTTTCACGTGGTCAGTTAAAACTTTAACAATTTTATTGACAATCGAATGTAAAGTGTGACTCCTACTGGAAGTATTTTATCCCCAAATGCCATTGAAACATGCCGGAAGGCCATGCGATATGCTTCATTTTGGTCTGTCATCCCACAAACCCACGTACGTTAGGCATATATATATATATTCAACACACAACCAATTACATAGAATTGGCAAATATGCCAAACATATGAAGAAAAAATCTGTAGAATATGTTCATAGGTTGGCTAGAAAGCCAGAACTGCAAGAAAGCATGACGGAGCTTAGGGTCCGCACTCCATTGGGGACCAGTATCCAGTTCATCAGATCATTCACTCTTTGGAAAGGGTCAAACGTCCAAGGTGCCCATTGCAACTCAGTGCCCAGTGAAACCGGTGACCACAACCAAAATCAGGGTTTTTACCAGACTCCCCTAGATGAGCTGCCGGTGGTTCACCGCCTCGGTTACAGCCACGGATGTTAGCTTGTCGTCCTCTGCTGCTGCTTGAGACTCTTGGAGCAGTTCGCATTCGACCATACCGAGACTTTCGGAGGTAATAACAGAAATACAGCATCTTTGAGATGAGCAATGCACCAAATATGTTATCGTATAAGCTCCTTCGTGGCATCTGAATGGATCACAAGCGATCTCAATTGACTCAACAGAACTTCTCTCTTACAACAACTGAATCTCATGCACCGACACTTGGATCCCATGGTATCCTATGAATTGCTGTTTCATCCACAATGTTGTGGAAGGACTTTTATCATCATGTTTTCTTCCAGTTAGCCCCTATTTACTGTTTTCCACCTCGTTCTTCATCCTTATAGGGTCCAACTGGACCAATTGGTCTTCCTGGAGAGCCCGGTATGAAAGGTGTAACTGGTAACCCCGGTACTGTTGGACCGATTGGACCCAAGGGTGAACAGGGCTCCAGCGGAGATCCCGGTCCACCAGGCAAACAAGGTGAACGAGGTCCAGAAGGTGAACTTGGCCCTCCAGGACCACGAGGTCCTGCTGGTGATGATGGTGAGGCCGGACCACAGGGACGACAAGGGCCATCGGGACCACCCGGACCACCTGGTGCGTGGTGATCAACGTTTGCATTTATTTTTGGGGATAGAACTACTTGTTTGGCATTGTTTAAACTATTAACTAAGCTAAATCAGTTGAATAGTGCAGTGCAATAGAAGGAATAGGATTGACAATTACAGAAAATTAATGAAACAAGAAATTCCCCAATCCAGTGTGTGCACTTAATCATCTGAATAAAACAAGTAACACAATTTGAACAGAAATGATAGTGACCACGAATTTCGCGTGCTCTCAATCAGCTGCCTACGCACATTAAACAGGTTGAATTTCAGAGGAAGAATACCACATATGGAAATTTACATAATTACATGGGAACTGCCGTTCCCTTGCATCATCGTTGACATTTCACCATTCTCGTTTTCTTATTACGTAACTCTCTTTGACCTACTTAAATGACCAATTTTTACTCCGTTAACTTTCTACGTCTGTCTGAATTTATTTCTGGTTGTAGCTTTTTCATATTGCGTAGCCATGTTCAAATCTCTTTCCTACACGACTAACCGTTTTCCATTACGCAACTTTTATTATGGTAACATTCCCCTTTTTCTGAATGTTTGTAATCGTTATCTCCTCCACCGCTTTCACGCATACCCAAATGACTTAGTAACTACTCAAAAACCCAGTTCTTCCTACCTGAACTCATGTAATAATGTAAATGTCCATATATGGCATTCTGAAATTCGACTTATTTAATGTTCGTAGGCAGCTGATGGAGAGCACGTGAAATTCATGGCCAATAACAATTCTGCTCATATTGTTACTTTTTTATTCAAGTGGATCAAAGGGAAAGGATGCTTCCGAATTCAACTCCGAGATTGTCTATCCACTTAAATTATACAGTCTTCTGTCATTCCTTGGATGATGAAACGTTTGTAAACAAATGGCGATGTTCGGCATAAATGAACTCAGTCAATCCGAACATTGCGGACCAAATTCAATACCTTTTTTACTTCTCAGATCTATCCATACGGTCGCCTGGTCACCTTCGAAATGAAACTAGCCCGGGGCTCAAATGAGCGAGGTTTAAGTATTTAAGTCAGTCAGTCACACCATTATTTGTGTGCCACTGAATGAATAGCTATCTTTTCCGGTCGTGAATTCCAGACCAAAAATGTCATTCCTGGTCTTGTCTCGGACGATCTCTCGGTGTGTGAACCATATCAATCATCCAGACATTCTGGAATTATTTTGGCATTGTCTATATTTTCTCAAAACCGCGCAAAATACACATTCTCACAGTCTTGTACATGAATCCGAATCCAATTAAGCTTGGTGAAGAACATCTTAGCAGTGAAGAGTTTCCCCTGGTTATGCAGCCTTTGATCGTGTGTTAGTTGCCAGCTGTTGAGAAAGGCGAGTCGACCAGGGAATTTTTGTCATAAAGACCACGAAGTAGAAGAAGCCTGTTGTATCCTGGTTAGGTAGGTGAATAAACACAGTGAACTAAGCAGTACGTTTATTGCAGTAGATACATGGAACCGGTCCGTAAGCCGGCTAACGACCAGGTAGGAAGTAGGCAAGCCGACAACTGGCTGAAACGTCACACGACATCCGAATTCGGTCAAGCAGGCATTCAAGCAGTCAACGAATCAATCAGCGTGGACAGTCGAATACTAACACCTGATTGGTTGGAGTTGATAGACAATGTAATACAATCAGTCCCATGACATGAGTGCGTGTGTGTGTACCAGCTGACAGTATCTGTCAGTCAATCGATCAATCAATCCGGACACAGACATGTATGACAAACGTGTCAGTCAATTGCAGGCCACAGCAATTCCTTTGCTAAAACTATAATAGTGCCTTAGTGTTTATCCGCCCATGTGCATATGCCAATCACGAAGCTACAATGATCGAGAGAATTATCGATGAAACGTACCGTCACGTCGAGCGCTTATGATCCAGCCGCGGTCAAGGTGGAATAACAACCACAGGGAACATTAATGATGTCACCGTAACATCATTTGGCGGTTCTCTCTATCTCCAGAATGCTGTGTTCCAAAATCCATAAACTGCCCATAAAGTGAGACCCTTTTTTTTATCCATTTACTTTCTGCTCTACACTGTGTACGCAACATGAAAGAATATGTAATGATATGGTTGTACGGTAATCAGTGCTCCAAAGAATCCAAACTTTCAGTTACTTTGAACTGACCTTATCTGTTTGGGAAAAGTTTGTCCCACGGTCTTTCGCATTTCAATCGTTCGATGTTCTACATCTGACTGGCTCAAATAGTTCATCTATCTTGTTCTCATTTTTCATCGAAATTGCACTAGCTCAGATTCCAATGAATTCAGCTCCTTGTGCAATTTTAGTGCTTATTGTCATCTCGTGTGAGTAGAAACGGGCTCAGATTGCCTCAATCTTGAACTATTAGTTTGTATAACAAACAAAACGACTTCTAATCAATGATATGTTTGACAGACGATTATTAGGTGGGCGTGTGTGTATGTGAGTATTTTGTTTGCTTGATTTTGTTGTGAAATCCAGTGGAACCGTATTTTCTAAGCCCAGACACAAACAAAACACTTCCCGTTTCCAACGAGGAAAAAGACAGCCTGTGATATGACCCGTTTTAGTCGGGGCGATCTGTTGCCTCGTACTCGATTCCTGCATTTTATACAGTGGAGCACGTTTAGAAAAGACTATTTGAATGTGGTTCAGTAACGATCAGTAGGTAGTGTTCACTGATTTTCTTATTATCTTCTCTCCGTTCTCATTTGCTCGCCAGGACCACGTGGTAAACCCGGACAAGTGGGTGATCCCGGACCAATGGGTCGACCTGGTCCACAAGGTCAAGTGAAGGTGACTAATGCTCCGGAACCTGGATTGAGACGACGACGACGATCGGCTAGCACCTACCCTGGTGAGTGACAGAAAACATAGTGCTGATTCGATAGTTGCCTTCCACCCCCCACCCCCACCCCCCAAGTGATGCTATACATACTTTCTCATATCATCGATATATTTTGCTGGCCCGCAAATTGTGTGACTGTCCGCATATTGAAGTTTATAGAAAATTTTGGAGATTCTGTTCTGCCAACTAAGCTTTAGTACAAACACTACCAACTATTTCTCTTTCTCGAGAAAGCTCCCACATATCAGTCGGATAATGTTTTATCTCATAGGCAACTCTGATGTCAATCTCCAGTTTTGTCTAGGAGACGATTTTATCTTTGGATTGTTTATTTCCAATGAAATTGTACATTCCTACACAGTTTAGTTTGTTTTGTTTTTCGAAATTCCCACAAAACATTTGGATCCCACGTCTAATCGGTATTTCTCGTAAAAACAACTAAAGGGACGACAGATTTATCTAACGACTACGATTCCCTTCGTGCAGCATCAAAGTAATACTTGATCTATCTTCATCCCTCCCTCCGGCCTCCTCCCTTCCTCTTTCACTGAAACCACCAACTCTTACGTGACACGCACAGAGCAAACACTGGAAGAGCTGAACGCGAAGATATTCCAACGGGTAGACTCTTTACACAAACGAGCTCGACTGGCTCGTCATCCGACGGGAACAAGTCGACAGTATCCGGCTCGCACATGTAAAGATATCCGTCTGGCGAACAAATTCGCCAGAAATGACACGTAAGTTCATGGATGTGCCACCACGTCCTATTCACGTTTGATAGATAATAAAGCTGGGAGTTTGTGTATCACGCAGAGACATTTGTTAAACTAAAAAAGGCTTATTACTTGGTCGATGTTCGCGTGTGAGATTGGTGATTCCGGGAATGCTACTAAATTTAGATATCTCCCTTCATCCTCAATGCCCCAGAAATCAAAAACCCTCTGACCTCCTTCCTCTTTGTTCTATGCAGCATTACGATATGAAGAAAACTCTTTATTTTCGATTAAATGTCAGTTACGGTTTTTGTTTCTAGTTCGTTTTTCTTTCAAACCAAGGGGTGAGGGACAGGCAGAACAAAATCATGGTAATTATAATTTTGAAAAAAATCACAATTGTTGTTTGGTCGTTCCGTGTGATTAGAGGTGCTATGCTTATGGCAGGTACCAGGCCGTTAAAAGTGGGTTTACGCAAATAAACTTAGCGGAGGGATGGCGCATATTGGGATTATCCCATTCGGTTCAGGCAACAGGTACTGTCGGTGATATTGGGTTTGAGTTTCAGTCCTCGGGAGATCGTTTATGCGTCACTATAACTGTCAACCGTGTAGCGCCTGAAGTCCCAACCCGAAGGTTCGCGTTTCGAGTCCTGACAGGGACACAAAAAGTACGCACTGCTGGCGAGTCCCAAAAACAGGATGAAACAGCTGTCCAGTGCTCTTTGTGGGTTATCACAAACATTCCCATCGCATTAGCGGAGAGATCTTTACATGAAAACCGGCTGTGGTTAGCTCAGTGATTCGTCATTCTCACGTTACCATCTTAACAGTAGTAAGAACATTGCTCGCAAAATAAGAGATTTACCTGATTTACCAATCTATTTTAATCATACTCTATCCATTTCAGCTACTGGATCGATCCGAATGAAGGAGCCAATACTGATGCGATTAATGCCAAATGTATATTCTACGATGACGGACGTGTGGAAACTTGTATTGAATCAGAAATGGATCCGGTAAGTGGTAGCTCCTTCTAACTCCACCCAGTACTTGGGAGTACTTGAAAGTCTTGATTGCATCAGNCAGTGGGGGGGGGGTTGAGGCAAGTGCTGTTTCTGTTCTCCAGACCACAGACATTACTGGCGAGTTTTCGAGCATGTGAATCACTATATATTGAATGGACAATCTACCTGTGGGATGAAACACTATCAGATGACTGGATCGATTACATTTGTGCTTGAACGAGTATTCGGGAACTGTTTGATTGGTTTGTCTGTCACCATTTATCACCTTATTCAATCCGCATCTCAGCCCCCGCCTCTCAAAAAAACGTGAAAAATTTCTGATAACCGCTAGACAACTCAGTTGGGTCGGGCTTGTGATCATATCTGTAGTTTAACAATTGCTTTCCGTAAAAGCACCTTTTAAGTTCACAAAGCAAATTCTTTGTTTCATGAATTTATCAAATATAAGACATAATGCGTGAGCAGGTGTAACAATTGGAGTAATTGTAGTAATAGTAGTAGTACGCACTGAACTCGGAATACGAATCACTGATTAGCAATCACGGACGTCATGTAAGCACAGGAGCACAGTGGTAATTGCACGGCAGTATCCCACGTAGTCGAGACGTGAGGAAAAGGTCACAGGAGTAGTAGTTCGTTTATTGAAAGAAATTAGGGGAATTAAATAATATGTACAAACGAGCTCATTGGTTATCCGGGCTTCTGCCAGTCGCGTTCCAGTATTTCTGTCGTTGTTCAGTTTCTGTCTGGGTCGCATGATTTCCGATTAGCTGGTTCAATCGACCTATGGTTTGTAGTCCAGAAGCTGTGGCACGCACGCGCTTTGCTGACTTTATCCGTAAAGCTTGATTGATCACATTAGTCCGAAAACTGTAACGCGTCACTCTATGATATGCGTGGTCTAGGAGGCTGAGATCAACACAGCAGCGTCCGTCTACCTTCGAAATTTCTTCGCTTCTTGTTCAGGAATTCCGTACGGGAGATTGCGCTCTCTCTAGTAAAGCGTGTTGAATACAATGATGCGGGTAAGAAAAAGATCTATGAAACAGCTCTCTCCCCCCGTGGGAAAGCTCGAAAAGATCTAGCATCTTTTGTCGTGATGGATAATATGAGCGAAAGCGGTCCATTTTTAAACACTATCAAACTTCTTCTCACCGGTTTGACAATATCTGACGTACAAAAGCTAGCACGGGCAATTATAAATTAATTTCCATGACCGATCTATTTCTTTTCTCTTTCATTTTTTTTTCACCGATCCCATCGGTCCGAAACCACATTACACTCGTGTCACCAGAATATAAAGAAGCTATTCCATTTCAGCTCTCAGGGCCGGATCGATGATCACAAAAAATAATCCCAGGATATTATATAAGTGTGTGTGTGAGAGAGAGATGTGGTTAGCATGTACCTAACGGTCTTTCATCTCTTCCCCAGTACGGGAGAACTTTGTACAAATCAAACGTCTTCCTATGTTCCTCTCTCTCTCTGTCATTGCAGGGCATTTTGGCCACCTATGTGAAACCTCTCCCCGGTGACAGTGAATGGCAAAGTCAACTTCGCGTGTTGAATTCCACCACAACTCCAGACGTAAGTAGATCACAATTTTATCCACTTTAAGGTAGTTCAATTGGATGAATTTCTTGTGATTCTTTTTGTCATTTCATTTGTTACAGTCATCGTAAAGTCTCCAGCTAGAAACCTAAAAAATAAATCACAATGATTGTGCTCAAATTTTCTTTTCTCATTTTTCTTTTTCATTCTTACTTCCTGGTATTGAATGCATAATACATACAGTTTCAGTAGGAGAGAGGCGGACAAACAAAAGGCTGCCATACAACACACAGAGTGGGGAAAGTCAGGCGGTGCTGGTGGGATTCGAGCACATGTTCTCGAGGTGATGATTTGGTGGCATTACCATCGGGCCACCACTCTCCATCAAACTGCTCAAATAACTTAGAGGTCTAATAAATCAGTGCGCCCGGTGGTCGAGTTTGTAGGTCCGGGGTCCCCCCCCCCCCCCGNNNGATCGAGAAAGCTGTACAGCTTGCCTCCTAGCTTTTCGGTTCCCGCTTGATTTTCTCTGTACACGACGAATTCCCTCTATAAAAACTCAGTGTGCATTCGATAAGCGTACTTATCTGACAACTTCATTTTGCCCAAACACTGGTACCGCACTGAATTGACTGCCTGAGGATTTCCTAAACTCACTTGTTGTAACCCGCCTAGACCATGCGCTCTATCTGGATCCAGTGGGTCGTGTGAAGACGAGTGTAGTAATTGTAGTAAGCACTGATCATGAAGTAAGAATCACGAGTTATAACTCACAGACTAGCAATCACGGATGCAACGTAAGCACTGGATTACACTGGTACTTGCTTGACAGTATCTCACGTAACCGAGACGCGAGGAAAAGGCCACAGGAATAGCAGTTAGGTTCATTTATTGAAGGAAATAAAGGGGATTAAATACTATGTACAAAACAAGCTCATTGATTATTGAGGAGATTAGCTTGTCTTAGCCACGACGAATGAAAACCAAAACATAAAGGCACACACAAAACAAGTTCATTGGTCATCCAAGCTTCTACTAATCGCGATGTAGTATCTCCAACGTTGTTCAGCTTCTGTCTGGGTCGCACGGTTTCTGATTGGCCGGTATAATCGACCTATGGTTTGTAGCCTAGATGCTGTGACACGCATGCACATTGCTGACGTCACCCAGGAAGCTTGATTGGTCACAGTTGTCCGAAAACTCTAACGTATGCGTCATCTCGCAGGCTAGGATCATCACAACGAAATTGGAACCATTACACACAAACACACACGTGATTCAAATTCCGAATTGCGGGGACTGGTCAATGGCCTTCGTCCACTGCGTGTTTTCACTTGGGTTCGACAAGTCACATGTCATGCGTTCAAGAGTTCTGTATTCGGTGAAATAATTTGTTAGAAAGAAAAAAACTATTTCAAACGTTTAACCAGTGTAGATTCGATCATAGCATTTGGTCCACCTAATCGGATTCTTCAATTCTTAGGCTACTATCCCCAAGGTGAACTGAACGATGTTTGTAACAACACACTACATAGTTTGGATACAGAACAGGTAGTTGGCTGTGAATTGATGCCACCTTTCCATTGGTAGATATGGTTCTTCGGGAATGGAGCGTAAGGAGAGGCACAATAACTCTCAAGGTTCACCTTTGCATGCTCGAACTCGCTGCAACTGATTCCGTCCTCCGGCTCACAATGGCACTTGTAGAAACAGCGCAATAGTAAGAACCATCTTACTCGAGAATCACCGGGAGAATCTATCTCTGGTGTGCACACCAGCTTTCTCTCTCGCTTTCGCTATTTGACGATTAAGTTCTGTCAAATAATATCCTAGTCCCGCTCTGAACACAACTGCTTGAACCGATGGTAACGCCCCCAAATTATCACTCTGGAGGACGTGTGTTCGAACCCCACTAGCACCATGGTATGTTGTATGGCAGCCCCGTTTGATTGGCCCTCTTCCCTCTTCCTGAAAATTGTATTTTTGTATATTCAGTGAAACGAAGTAAAAATGAAAAAGGAAGTACAACTGTCTCTAATTGCTTGGTGTATCTGACCGGGAGGATTGTTGTTCCACAATCCGAACCAATCAGTCACCAGCCCACTGCCCTACTTTACATTCGACTAATCCTCTGTGTTTATTTCCACTTTGTACCAAACCAGCTCCATGCCTATGGGGACCATTCCCAAGTCAACTTCCTTCGTATTCAACACCGAAGTGCATCACAAGAATTCGAATTTCTCTGTGACGGAACCGCGATCTACGGTAAATGGAATGGTAAAAGAAACGAGCCGGAATTCGATGCGGCTACCGCATTGATGACTCATAACGGACGTATGTTGGATTTGAGCACTGGGGAGCGTTTGGGACATGGTTTGGAACATATGGACAGACGTGTATACCGAAATTCCTTGTCTCGACTAGATACAATTATCACAGTGGAGTATGATGGTTGTCAGGTACGTATCGTTCATTTGAGATAGAACAATTTATACCAACAGGCTGTGTCAAAAGGAACAATATTGGGTAATCAAGCACTAGAAAGGATGTTTTTCAACCACAGATGACTTCATGCGACCTATCTATAGTATCGCATTACGGCTCACGCAAACATATACAATCAATAGGAATAGGTAAATGAGACGGAATCAAACAATGGAATTATCGGCTACCTGTCAACTGACTTGTAGCACACTCGTTAGGTTTAGTTGATTCCGGACATTACTCAATCAGTGTTTGTGTTTGTACTGGTACGGTACTTTTTGAGATACGCTTCATATCATTGGTCCTGATTGTTCGCTTCCAATTAGCCGTCACAAAGTGGTTCATTGACTGATGCTATTCAGCACAGATAGATTCCCACGCCGTATCAGTACGATGATCCTTTAAAACATCTTCATCTCTTGTACCATAGAATAAATCTAGTGGCAAGTCGGTTCGATCTAACTGTTCCACTTATTTATCTGGGAAAAAAGGTTCCATATTTATTTTCCAAAGTACAAGTAAAATAGATTAAAGCATTATGGGATTGTGTTCAGCAGTCAGCTGTTTGCTAACTCTGTACTGTAGCCAATTCCCCTCCGAGTTTCCCATTATTCCATCTAAATAATAAGTGGAAATTCGTCGCGTATATGGCAAATGAATTTTCCACTTTGAAATTGAATCAATCCTCCATTACTCACATGAATTAAGTAGTCAGGTTGTGACTATTTCCAACCGAGTCATAACCCCGGAGGCTTGTGCTGAGATGAGCAAGGTCTGTGGCCTGCAACAAGTTCGCAAAGATGGGTTGTGCTATATCGTGTAAATGGAAAATAAAAAACGGTCTGATCAGCTGTCCCATGGTCGAGTGGGTAACATGCTTGCGTTCTGCCCATGAGGTCCCGGGTCCGTTCTCCAGTTGGGTCAATGGATTCATGCTGCTGCTGCTGGGTTATTGGACCCAACAAGGCGAAACAGCTGTCCAGTGCTCCCTAGCTTTTCAGTTAACGCTTCATTTGCCATATACACGACGAATTTCCACTTTGAAATTGAATCAAATCCTCCATTACTCAGATGGATTATATCTTAGTTTGATTTCAGCAATTCAATTAACTTTGAAATTTCCATCAATTTTTAAGATCAGGTCATCCGGATGATTGATTATTCGTAAGTGAGCTGAAGACAGAATTTTCAATTTACGACCTACGGGTAACTTGTTACTGTATAAGTGATTGTATCTCTACATTGATTTCCATCCACATTTGTTCCCTTTCGCTCTTCATTGCACAGTACATGAACAAAGGAGCCTCAACCAAATTGAAGGTGGAAACCAGTGATTTGGATGTCCTTCCGATTATCGACTTCAAAGTTCGCAGTTTTGATAAACACGGCCTGAGTTCCATCAGTCTGAATGTGGGTGCTGTGTGCTATCAGACGTAAAAACCCCATCTGGCCCAGTATCCATGTGCGCACGCACACAGAACCGGGCGTGTACATGTCTGAACAGCAGTACATGTCTATGCGTGGCGTGTGTTCAACTCTTGTGATTGGTGCTTTCTTTCTACCACCTACCCCCCCCCC